GTGTACTGTACAGTGAAACAGCTGTATCTCGGTGCAACTCGAGTGAGAACATGGCGTGTTGCTCGTCTGTACAGTGTACTGTGTACTGTACAGTGAAACAGCTCTATCTCGGAATAGGACACATGTACATGTACAGTTTTTTCCCCTTAGAATGGCCGATACTGTGACCCCAAATATTGACTTTTCCTCTTGGGACATCCTGTATATCCTCTCCTGGTAATAGGATAGTTAACAGTAGGACGTTATGATGGAATGGACATGTAGCTAGGATATAGGAGAAATATAATTAATACAGCACAATGAGAGAGAAACCTCTTGGCAAACGGCCTTGAATAACCAAGAAGATGACAAAACTACACTAAAATTGACCTTAGAGGAAAGACGTTGTGGTTTTTGGGGTGAATGGACTAACTCAGGCTCGTGTCCAATAGAAGGCTTTAATGTTAGCAATGCTAGCAGAGAGTCGGTTAGCTATAATATTCTTTCTTATTAGCAATGCAAAAAGATATCATTTCTGCACCAGTGTCTCGCCGTTTATCTGGGTACAATCAGGTCCCAGTCAGCAGACACAATCGGCCAATTAATAAACAGAGATCAACATCTGAAGGTCAAAGTTGTCATTAGCATAAAAAAATGAATGATAAAGCGTTCGGTCATTTCGTAACTAACTTAATTTCAAGTTAGAAGAAATCCCCAACAAACTCTAGCATTCTATAATATAAAAAAGTTTCCTAAACTTCTGTCGGTACGCCAGAGCATGAAAACCCAACCGATCTCGTATTTTCCAACAAGTGATGGCAAGTGAATATTTCTAAAATTGTAATTTGTTTACAAAATATGTAAACACAATGTCGATTTTTACAGTTTTACAATGCGTAATTGGACTCCTAGTAAACGGAATATCGATATAGGCCAAGGACAAATACAATATGGACGATTGTTTTCAGATATTTTCAGTGCAGCCCCGACCGCATCACCCTATTTCTCTAATTTCCATTTTAATAGTATCCTCATATCTTCTACATATTATGACGTATCAACCCATTGCACGGCAACGACTAGGTAAACACATTCTCGCGGAGCCAACGTGCGCAACAATAGGACGTCTATTGCTTGGCAACGGATCAGTAAACACTCCTCATTGACAACAGAGATTATGTTCTCTGTGTGGTCCGTACAAAGTGGTTATAAGAAAGAGTTCCGAAGTTGGCAGTAGTAGTAGAGTGAAGAGTCGAGTTCAAGACGCCAGCCTGCCGGGAAAGGAGCTTGGAATTGAATTGAGTTGGCAGCTCCAGGATAAGGGCAAGAAGGGAATTAGGCTCTTGCAAGACTTCATGTGTGATTTGAAGTTACAGTGAGACTGATAACTCCGTTGCTAGGATACGACTAATGAAGACTGAGCACCCTAATGCGTAAAATATCGATAGAGCTGCACTGTTGTGAACGTATAAGGCGCAATAAATCTATTCACAATCCAACCCCCGTCTGTAGTCACTAAAATACGTGACAACATCATGATTGATCTCACATCTTCCGGTGTCCGGATAATGATTCTGTATATCTAATATTTAGAAAAAATCGCATAAATATTATAGGCAACATTAGACAGACTGCACTGAGCTCCATTACACAGAAAACAAACAAACAAAAGTGATAGCTAAGTAAGTCTATTCACACTTCAGCTGGGTGAACGAAAATTTGTACCAGTACTTAAACAAGAACAAAGCCGCGGTGACGATGGAGGCGTGGAGGTATAGCTCCATGAAGCATTCTTACTCTCGGTACTAGTGCAAATGAGTCATCAGTTTCACGCCCCGGCAGTCTTGCCTTTTGGATAAGAACTCCGCCCGTACATAATGTAGAGGAGGATGAGTGAGCCCCAGAGTCAGTTCTGGGCTAGCACCTACGGCTTCGTTCCAAATCCTTTCCAATTCATTATCCACCACCAGTCATCCTACCATGAGACCCTATATAATGTAAGATACTGGTTGACTCGTAAACTACACCCCCCCCCAAAAAAATTAAACTAACTCAATGGAGCTGAGCCCTTCTTCAGAAGCCTCCAGTTGTGCAGCTACTCAAGAATTTCCCATAATTTTATGGAACCCGAAGGTTCATTACCGTCTTCACAAGAGCCCTCCAGCGGTCACTATCTTGAGCCAGATCAATCCAGTCCATACCACCCCAGCCTATCTCTCTAAAATCCATTTAAATATTTTCGGCCAGTTTATTTCTTGGTCTTCCTAGTGGTCTCTTTCCTTCTAGCTTTCCCACCAATCTCTTATATGCATTCCTTATTCGTGCTACATGCCCTGCCCATCTCATCCTCCTTGACTTGGTCATTAAAATTTTCATACAGGCCTATGAAGTTTCAGACACTCGAATTAGTTTTAAGGCCTGTATGGTACGCATGCGTTTTGAGTTAAATGACATGTATGTGTGTGAAAGTCGATATGGGTTGGGGTTTGGGAGTTACTTCATGAAGCTCTAAATATCTATATATACCGTCAAATTGTAGGATGACTAGAATTATTGGTTTCTTGAACACTGCTCATCGTCCGATTTCTTATTTAAAACACTCAACGTTTTGGAGACTGGCCTCTGTTTCCGTCCTCAGGTAAAAGCCTACTCATTTGGGCCCAATCGGTAGAGCTACTCCCTACCAAAGGACGTGAATGAAGGATCTGAAGAAAACGAAACCTTGGGGGAAGATCTCGTGACTCACTCCAGATACTATCCCGTAATTTTCCTGGAGAGCCTCAGAAAACCACGAGAAGACACAGTCATGACATCCGGCGTTCCGATCAAGATTCGAAGTTAATGCCTCCCGAATACCAGTCAAGAGCATTTCCGCTATGCCAAACCTCTAAGTGAAATTCGATGTAACCTATAAATCCGTGGCCCGTAGGCCGCAAGCTAACTATACCAACCGATCGACTGCCGCTTGTCGGCGAAGTTAATGACAACTTTAGCGGATAGAGGGTGTCACGTGGTCAGCGCAACGAATCCCCACTGCCTTTAATTTCGGTTTTCTAGAGCGGAGCCGCTATTTCCTTGAAATAGCTCCTCAGCTATCCTCAAGAGGCAGAGTGGACCCCCTTCCAGACCCACTACTTCTAACAAAAAAATCCGGTAGCGCCGGGAATCGAACCTGGACCTCTGGATCTGTAGCCAGGAACTCTGACCACTAGACCACAGAGGCGGTCCCGATGTAACCTATATGAGACTTATAAAGTTCAAGATATTCTTGTGCTTAATTAATTTCGGCAGATTTACCATCCGTGGAAAGTCTCCGGTACATGAGTCCCAGAGCCGATCTGAACATTGC